TTTACTGAGTTACACGTTTTACAACGCTTTTCCCTACCCACAGTTTCTATTCTCTGAATGTTCACTGTCCTTCAGCTATTTATTATGAGTAATTAACATAATTATGAGTGTTTTCTTCCCCAGTATGTTTTATAACAACATGTTAACAATAATACGAGGCCTGGGTTCCCCTGTGATGCTCAAGTTTGTTAGCTGGAGGCATTGGCTTCACTCATTAAACACTCAAGAATTTGGCACAGCTAACACTAACCATCCAGGGAAAGTCTGGTAGGAGGCATTTAATAAAAAAGAAACAGAACACAACTAAGAGTCAGACAGGAGGACAAGAGGTAATGTTGAAATTGCAAAACAGAGTATAAGATTATAATTTTATTCTACCTCATTTATAAATAAATATGGGTGCAAATTAGGTTTCAGAGGCAATAACAAATGAAAAATGGAGGTACTAACCCTTTCTTCCAGCCACTGTTGTCTGCTCCCTGATAGAGCACTGAACAAAAATTCAATGAAATTATTATGCAAATAGAGAAATCCAGCAGCCAGCAGAGGCAGTCTGAGCAGAGCAGAAAAGCTCACTGGGGCTCCAGCCTCCAGAGTGCTCACAAAATTCCTCATGGCCACAGGAAACCCACAGTGCTTTGGGGTTCTTTAACAAATTCTTCTGCTAACACACTTTGTATAAAGCACATACCATTGGTCTTCAGGGAGAGATTATGTCGTGCAGTGGGCAGTAAAGTCAGTTCAAGGATATTTTTCATTCATGTGGTACTCATAAACAATTTCCCTATGACTGAATATATGGCCAAAAATCCATAATTAAACTTGACTAAAGAGACATGTAAATATAGGTTTTTAATGAAAGAAAAAGAAAAATATGGCTCACTGATCCTTCACTGGAGAAAGTTGATGCTTTAATAGGGGTTAATCAATATTTACTGCCTCCAGTAGCACTTATAGCTGTGTAATAACAGCAGTGTAAACAGGTCAAAAGAGAATAAGGCCATTTAGTTGGGAAAACTGCAGGATCAGGCCCTTAAGTTTAGGCAGCCAAACACATTTTCAAAACATAACTTCACTTACAGAAGTTAAATTGAAGTGACTCCTGAAAAGAGGATAGTTCAGGAATAAAAACACAGCTCTGCAGGAACAACTGTTAAGAGATGCCTACAAAGATATCTGATGGACATGTCTTTGAAGAATGAAATTTTTACAGAGAGAGAAGAGCAGCTCTTTCAATGAATAGCCTCCCACACTTTGCAACATCTTCTCTTCAAATATGTCAAAGCAATGCCTGGAATAGTTCTTCAGAAGGGATGTTGGACCCTCAATCCTGTCAGCAATAACCTCATTAATTTTGTGACACACTATGCTGGGGTTTTCTTCTTGCCTTTTTAATCTTACTATGTATTTTGGACCATTCTAAATTAATTCATATACACTGTGGGCCTGTAATACATTTTAGTATCTTTAGAATCTCACATAGATTGAACTCATTAACTGCATAAAAGGTAAACATGGTAAAAAAACCGAACTAATGGGAATTACAATTCTAAAGAGAAATCTGTCTTCAAAAACAAAAAACAGGAGAGAACTGATTTAGAGCTTATGAACGCCTCATGAAATTAAACAAAATATCTTCATCAAAAATCCAAGTTTGTAGAGAGGCGTCAAAACCAACATTTATTTTAAGGGAAGGATTTTGGAAAGCAGCAGGTTATGCAGCAACATTTTTTCCTAATTGACTCTGTAAGACCATGTGTGAAATAAATAGTTTATAGCAGTTATACCACTATACAGCATTCAAATGCCGTGCATGGATACATACTAAGTCTACCCAGCAATAACTAGATTTAACTATGAATCTTGAAGTGCTTCCGTATTCCCTCTCCAGATCAGGCAATACTGACAACAGTGATGGCCCAAACCACAAGATACTCATGGCCAATGGAAGACAGCAAATTCTAAACTGTTTCTTTTCCATTTACAAAGAGTAAGAGAGATGGACACAAAAAATCCAATATGAAGAATAAGGAAGAGAGAAGTGTAGACTTCTGAAGCCAAATAAAATGACCAAGACAGGAAACTCTATAAAGCTTTTTCTCCAGTCGAAGTAGAAACCCAGCTGAGTATATTATACGTGCAAGAAATAAGGGCATGAGCAAAATTCTGACAAGTGGGTTGATGGAATAAGATTGGATTTCCACAAAGCATTCAGAACAGATGAGTTTTTGGATGAGCTTGCAGAACAGCATGATCTTTAAACGCCTTGTCAGAATGCCAAACCAGGATGATCACCCACTGAAAAACAACTTTCCAGGATATGGTACTAAAGACACAGAGAACAAAATCATTCCAAAAAGATTTTCATTAATTTAGCCAGAACAAAGTTAATAATCCATTACATAAATGTTTCTTTCTTTACTAGCTTGTTAAAAATGCTAAATTCTCCCCTATAAAAATATTACAGCTAGAGGCTGACAGAGATTAGCTTATTCTTCTTCAAAGTCATTAAATAAATAATTAACCAACAATAGCTGGTAAGTTACCCTGACAACAAACACTTATTAAATATGAGACTGCCCAAGGGAGAATGAACCAGGGATTTCCAAACTGTGGTGTTAATCAAACTACTTCAAAGCAACACAAAGACTCAGCACTGGCAGGCGGTCACTGCCTCTGGTGGATTCATGCAGCCCGACACGGAACTTGGAGCTACTGCAGCCTCTGGCAACAGGGATAATTTAGTGATGTACTTCTGTACAGCAAAAGGTCAAAACTATTTTTTGAGCATAAGAAAGGAAACAGAAAACTGGAAGTACCTGAATTACAGGACCATTAATAACATGTCAGTCGTACTCAGAAATTAATATGAGCCCTATGTCCACAAGGTGTTACGTAAGATGTTTTGGCAAAGCCTATGACAAAAATGCAGTTGTGGAGCACTTCAGATACAACTGCACATCATAAAAGCATCCTGTATTCAAGCTGTAGACACTTTAAGATAGCACAAGATATACCGGGGACACCTAATTCGAGTGTTCTCACATGTGCCCTTCATCTTTCATGCCAGTGAGACTGGACATAAATGCTATGGACTCAGCTTCCAAAAGGCAAACATTTTACCTCTGGACTTCTTTACATCTCTTTCTTCTAGGTTCAGAGAGAAGAAGCTAATGGGCAAAGCATAACATTACCATACCATTCATTCTCTCAAAGACAGTTTCTAAGGTGGTATAATACTTATGGAAGACAGAAACTGAGAATGTTTTGCTTCTCACAACCCACATTTGGGAATCAGCAGGAAGAGAGTCCTTTTTGAAGGGTCCTTAACAAAGAAATTTAGTAATAGGACATAAGGCTGTTTGTGTTAGCAAACCAGCCAATGTATTAGCAAATAAGAACTTGTTCAGAGGCCTGTCAGAGCCCTTCAGATGAGTCTCTGAATTAGATTATGCATAAACCGGCATAGGCAGTAATAGTCAAAATCCTGCTGTAATGGAAGATTGTTCCCCAATGAGTGATTTGTTGGTGCAGCATAGATAATTTTTTCATCGTACTGGAAATTGCTTTGATCCTCTGAAATGAGCAGCTCTTGTTCTCATTACAGCATACCTCAGAGTTACTAACAAAGATCAAAAATGTTTCTTTCTTTCTTAGCCAAAACAGGCACAGACTTTCACTTGTGCAGAAAGAATACACCAGTGCTCAGAACTACAGGATCTGTGATAGGCATTTCCCAGCCTTTGCCACTGCTAGGACAGAACCTGAGCCAGCAGAGGTTCTCTTCAAGGAGGAAAGGTCCATATCCCTCCCTTAAAGGATTTCAGTCTCTGCAGCTACAATTTTTTAGCAGGACACAAGTTCAGTAAAATGAACATCCCTACCCATGTTTCTTGGGAAATCTTGACCCATTTTGCTTCCTGACAGTCTCCTTCCTCTCCTGGTTTTCCATAAGCCTCACACCATGCTCTTCAGAAGCTCTTCCAAGCCAGGATATGAGTTCCCTTTTGAGGACTCCTCACCCCACACCACCTTCCTGACCAGGCTGCAGCAGCCCAGAGTGCCAACAGCCCTCTCCCCACAGCCTAACCAAGCCCTTTCTAGGCTCACTCTACCACACAATACCCACACCTGCCAACCCACAGGCTCAACCAACGTGTCCTCACTCACTTCATCTCAGCTTAAGACTAAATTTTCGATCAAGTTTATAGTTTTATCCAACACCTTCAACAGTGACACAAACAAGATCCTTAACTCTGTCTAAAGTAAACCAAAACACATGGAATCCCCATTGAAAGTCTAAGGCCTTTGTTTGTAAATTATCGTACAATCCTTGGAAATAGCACTTCAAATTATATTTAAATTATGGCAAGAAAAATTCAGATATCTGGCATAAATTGCCAAGAAATTTCAAGATGCTGCTTATATCAGAGTCAAATCTGTTACCAAAATCTGGAACTTGAACTAGTAGTGCATATTTCACATGCTCAGTCAATTATCAACTGCTGGAGACTTCTGAGACTATTGAAACGGGACAGATTGAATACATCAGCTGGATACAGTCCATTTAACTAAATATGAAATACTCCACAGCTCAATACCTATCAGAGTTCTGTTATCCTCCCAGATTAACTCTTTCACAACAGATGTCTAAAAAGCATAAACATAATAATCAAGCAGTAACAAATAGCACAAGACTATGAAGTCACAATATTTTTCAAATAGAAAATATATGAGATAAGAGAATGAGATATGAAAAATCAGCTCTGAGTTAGTGCAACCACTTGCTGGTACTTTATGGACATAACATCACACCTAAAGTACCCAGTTCCGGGAAATAAAATAAATAATTAAGTCCCGGAAAAGTTGACCACAGGTTACATCTCCAGATTTATCTCAAATGTGCTCATTTTATCCTTCCTTTGAGTTAATACAGTCACAGAAAACTAATCCATGTCAAATTCCTAAGATGGACTTTTCTGCTGGGTACAGCTACTGACCTGCAGCATCTGAAGGTAGCCTTCCTGTGGGTCACACAGCAGGGACGATATCCGGTGGTTGTTCCTCATGCACCTCTGGTTGTTGTCCCTTGAGAGAGGGAAAATTTGCCGGATCACTGTCATCCTCCCCAGAGCACTATGCACCAACTCTAATATCTCATTATCAGTGATTTCCTGTGAATGGAGACACAGCCTTTTAAAAACATGTCTTTGTCCAGACGTTTTATATCCTCCTTTCATTATTGGAGAAATGTTTTCAAAAAGGCAATAGGAGAAAAACATTACAGAGGCATATGCTTAGTCTAGGCCAAATGTTATTATTTTGTTTTTAATAATAAAAATGCTATTTTTTTATACATCATCTGAAACAAAAGAGAACAGCCTAACATAGTACCATCTATCTTGGCAATTCTAAAATTCTGCATATGTAGTTCCTCATAGAAAAGCACCAAGATGGTCTCGACAGGTTTCTAAATAAAAAAAAAAAAAAAAAAAGCCTTGAAATCAAATTTATATAGAAAGAATTCTTGTTTAACAGGCTAGAAGCTCACTATATCCTCAGGACAAAATAACAATTGGAAAACATAGCACTCTTCAGGAAATATGGCCCTTACACCTTGAACAATGCTACAAGTAAGCACTTTTCCCATAAGAACAGTAGATCATTTCTGCAGACTAATCCTGATAATGACTCAAGGAAGCCTTTTGAGGTTATCTGTACCAGGAAACAAAAAAATAGGAGAAATTTCATGGAAGGATTTGACACATTTAGGAACACCAATTTCTGCACACAATAAATTGGGATAAGATACAAGGAGATCTAAAGGACAGGCCGCTCTTCATTCCAGGCTTTGCACTTTCTAAAGCTTCTTTGCAGACCTTCACATGCCTTAGCCTCCTAATCCATCCTGGGACAGAGCCTGCATCTACTGCTCTTGAACTGGGACTGCAGCCAACTCAACTACGTGCTTTACATATTTTGTATTTGAAGAAAAACACAAAACCAAAACCTCTTTTTTTTTTTTTTACCCTAGGAAAATCACAGGGTTAGTAGATCCTGAAATCATATCAAAGGTGCAGTTTGTGATGTTTTCTCCTGGCAGGAGTTCACTGTAAGAAAACAGACACAGTGGCATTGCTGTCTGCACTCATCCCCTGAGCACCTGCTTTACATCCCAGCTCCTCACCACAGCCACCAGCAGCATCTGGAATTCACATCAGCCCATTTCCAGCACAGGAGGGCTGTCCCAGCTGGGCCAACCCAATGCCCAGCCTGTATAGGGCTGTCTCAGCCCCCTGCAGGGCAGGGGACTGCAAATCACTCCTGTCGCTGCACTTAGTCAGCAGGGCCCTCACCTTGAGATGTGTATCAGCAGAAGTGAACCTGACCCCAGACATTTAACATTCAAAGAAAAAAATTTTTTTTGTTTTCTTGCCATTTTCTCTGTCAAGCTGTGAGTGAAATGACCGTGAGGTTATTATAATTACTTGTTACGGTTGACTGTACCATAGCTTTGGCTCAGGTTAGTCCTTCTTTGCCAGTTTCCCATCATCTTTTAGGAACATGAATTTTTAACTTTGCAGAAGGTGAAATTCATTGCATTAATGACAGACCAACTGGTGTGGCATGAAAATAGTAAATCAGAAAAAAAATATATTCCTGTAAAGGAAAAGATTTTGAAGCTTAATAGAAAATGCTGGGCAGCACCTGTAGCCTTGCAATCAGATACTGAAGTAGACCCACAAGCTCTACGGATTCGTCCAGGCTGCTATCTTGGATTTCTCTTTTTTGGGGCTGGGGGTGTGTGTGTGTGTGTTAAAACCACACCCCATGTCTAAACTGCAGTCAGAGGGAGAGACAGTTTTATGGCATAGCTTTAGCTCATAACCTCCTAGGCTGCATCCCTTGGCAGGCACACTCAGACCGAGTGGCTGGAAACAGAGAAAAAAAAAAGGAATCACAAATCATCCAAACCTTCAGTTCAGCTCGCACCAAACACATTTTGTGTTCTCTCTAAGTGATACAGAGCCTTTCAAAGATGTCTCATAACCCGTGTCAAAATGCTTCACCTGAGACTTTTAAGCCTATCTGTAGCAGATCAGAACTGCTTCCTCCATGGGATTTCCAGAAGTAAGGCAGTAAAAGAGATCAGTTATGATAGGCACATTAACCCAGGTTCTTCCCACTTATCTATAGGCACCAAGTGAGTCCTGAATGTAAAAGCCATGTCACTATCAGCTAAAGAAAAATGGGAGCCTCTGGAGGGAATTTCAGAACCTAAACTTGGCTAAATCTAACCCTGAAAGGGCCACCTTTTTCTGTGTAACCAGCTGACAGTAGCTAAATCCTTCAATGCCTCAGTTCAGCACATAATGCCAAGGGGAACAAAGCTCCTGGTTTGTTTTTTTTTCAGCTGATGGATATTTATATCAGCAAACAATCCCCTCCTTTTAGAAATTGGGTTCCTTTTTAGAAATGTTAAAGCGCAGAGAAAAAAAGTTGCTGTTGAAAGTGCTGGGAACAAAAGGCCTATGTCTGCATTTTAGAGCTGCTGCTCTAAACACCAAAGGTAACTCCGGGCCTTCCCGAGCCAATTCACAGGGTGGTACAGCCACAGGCAGCATCCCAGGGCACCTAGGCAGGTCCAGGAGCAGGAAAGCATGGCTGAGTGCCTGACTGCAGGTCACAGCCATCCTGCACTGGCCTTGCTATGGACTCCCCAAGGGGAAATGTTCATCCCTTCCTCTTGCCTGGCACTGGAAGGCCCTGCAGGCTTGTCTCCAGAAAACTTACAGTCCTGGCTTAGTAGCACGTGAAATCTTAAATGTCACACGCAGAAAGGTCACCTGCGTCCCAACTGAGATAAATACAGGGAAAAAGAAAGAAAAAAAAAAAAAGGCAAGCCAAAAACAAGGGAAAAGAAGTATATGTGAAGTTCGTTCTTACTTTTACACTCAACAGAATAACAGCATATATCCAAAAAGTAGTTCTAAAACTTGGAGTCACAAGGGAAAACAGATTTCACGCTGGTCTTACAATTAAAGTCTATTCATCTACTTATTTGTTTAAAAGTAATATGTTTCCTTCCTGCACACGATAAAAAAAAATTCTTTGCACTGTGAAACTGAGCGAATTATTTAATTCAGTCCTAGAGGGTTTTTTCCCCCAAAACAAATGCGTCCCAAATTTCCAATTTTGTTCTTGGATCATTAGCCAGCACACAGTTATTACCATTTATACCACGCATGAATGCTGTATTGCAAGTAGAGCTTATCAGCTGGTTGGGCCAGGCAATACTCCTTGCAAAATTCTGTATCAAATGACCACTTTTTGGCTTTCACAATCCCATGATGTTGATACTGCATTATAGGGTAAATATTTACAGATGGTGAGTTCTGGCTTGTTTCAGGGATATGCTTTGTGCAAGGTTAAAGAGCCCAACCCTCTATTACTTGGCACCTGTAACAGTAGTTTGCCCTAAAGCCTGTAAATATTGAATTTCTTGAATGAGGGTGGAGGGAGAACAGTTTACCCAGGGACAAAAGTTGTTCTCATATCTAAGTATTCTTATCCTAATTTTTTTTCCTTTAGAAAGGGAAAGACTGGCTATTTCCAAAATAGCAGGGAGCACTTAAATATTTTGGTAGGCAGACATAAGTGTAAGACTGACTATTCACCCAGACTAATATTAGTTCTCACCACCTGACTTAATGCTTAAAAGATATTCCTTTAAATGCTCTATTTTTGTTCATGTGGCATATTAATAACAAATTTTTCTGGCATTATCTATTTATTTGCACATAAATATTGGCTATTTGGGGAATTCGTTTATCTGTTTATTTATCTGCACACAAAGAACTTCAGTTAGTGTGCAATATTTAGTCATACTGCTCAGGGGAATATTTAAATCCGCTCTAGTTGTGCTCAACCATCATAACACAAATCGCAAAATGAGACAATTATGTTTCACATTATAGTCTCTATTTTCCTAGAGGTAATGACAGAAAATTATAAATTTTAATGAAATTAATAATTTAAATAACCAAAACATATTTCCAGAAAGCATGTCCCTGAGAAAACCAGAGGATTAAACTGAAAGGCAATGAGGACAGGAATGCTCGTGGAGACAGCTTACAGATTTATATGTGGATTTTTTTCAGTAGTATCAATGCTGTTTATTGGGTTATTCTAAGTCCCCTCAATGCACTATTTGCATCTGAAAAGGGACACTTGTTGAAAATCCAGAAAACATCATTCAATTAACCATTTAAAAAAAAAAAAAACCAAAAAATTCACCACAGCTCACCCTGTACATAGATTTATTCAACAGTTCCATCATGCTGGCTTCTCTGCATCCCACATGAACAGAAACAGATATATCCATAAAGATTAATCCCTTAAGGAAAGGGCACTATCCATTCTTCATAGCACAGAAAGCATTTTAATACAAGTCTGCATGACCACCTGTCCAACTCCCATTCTCATTGTCCTCCCATACATCCAACATTACCTCACTTCTTTTTACCCAATGCTCCTAAAAATCTCTACAGGGATTTATTTATAATTTAGTTGAATTAGCTCTATTTCTGGATATAAGGACTCTGCACTGGGTGTCCAGATGTCTTTCTCAGATCATAGCGAGTACCTACACAGTAAAAGATCCCTGATGTAATAGAATATTATTCTAAATTAAAAATTATTTATCTCAGGGGAAAAATAATAAAAAACAAGCAAACAAAATGATAGTAAAAGCTGGACAAAACTGAAAAAAAACCCCAACATTATTTTTAGAGTGGAATTCACTGATAAAACAACTCATCAAAACTCATCTATAATCTTGCTCCTAACTGACTAAAACTGCAGATTAATTCTAAACCCTAATTTATTTGAGAGTGATGCAGGTATACATGCAGTACACTTTCATATGTATATCTTTCAAACATATACAAGTAAAAAAAACCCAAAAAAACCAAAAAACCAAAACACCAAAAAAACCCACAGAAAAAAGCACATAGATTTTTTTTTGTGAAAATAAATAAATAAGATACAAATTCTGCAGTGTCAAAGATAGTAGGGAAGTAAGATTTCCTTAGGCAAGTAATAAATATAGAGTATCTGGAATACAATTGGAATAAATTGTAATTGTAAATTGTTACATTTTGCATTGAAATAT